AAAAAAAAAAAAAAAAAAGATTCCTGCAAATTAACTGGGAAAATCTATTAACAAAGAAACATTTTATTCAGTCAGAATACATAATGCTTAAAGGAGTCTTTAAGGTAACAGAAGTAGTGGGACTCTATCTGTGGGAATTAGATTCAAATATTCCTAAAAATATACATCAAAAATGTCTTTCATGACAGTATACTAAATGAAATAAAAGCAATAATGGTAACACAAGCCCCCATCCCTAACCTGGTGGCTATCTCTGCTTGATAATTGCTGACAAAAGAAAAATTCTTTTCTCCAACAGAGTCTCCCTGGGGATACAAACCATCACACTTAAGAACAGGCCCCCAGCCTATGAATAGATGGCCAATAAAAAAGGAACTCAATGGGATTTTTAAAGTTTGTGGGGATTTTTTTTTTTTGTCTCAATGCTTTGTCAGAGTGCTTTTTTCTTTTTACCTTATAGGTCTTTTACTTATTATATTATGGTCTCTGAATTTTTGATGGGACCCCTATATGTGCAAATTTGTGTGTCTTTGTAAACCAAGGAAAAGCAAAATGAACTTTTCTCAAAAGCCCAAATAATAAACATAAGAAAAACAACCAGAGCATTTAATGTTAATAAATATAAATAACAGAAAACAAAGTACATTTTGAGTAATAGTGATTCCTACCTGCTTTAAACACATTTTCTAAATAGAGATATTTAAGGGACTAAGGTTTTCCCTTATATTTTCCACTTGAATGAATTCACATTTTTCTCCAAATATCTTAAATGATCAATAACAAAATGTCTAAGGAGAGTAAACAGAAAACTGCAACTCCACCAGTGGCATTCACATTGACTTTCTCCCACAGGTGCGTGACTACCATTTTTGTGATGTGTCTTTTGTTGTACATATTTGCTTGTGTGAGATGAGTTTCTGTGAAGATTGCAGTTGTGTTTTGGAGTTAATTCAGTGTGCTATGAGTTTACTCTTTGATCTGAATTCATCTGATTTAACAATTTTGTAGGAAGTTTTTTTACAAGGCATGGATAAATTTCCAAGGGAAATATCATAAGCAAATTTTTATGTTTTCTAAACAATGGAGTCACCTTTCCTCCAATCATGAACACCTTTTGGTAAAGTTAGCAAAACGCTGTGTAAATCCATCAGCAAAGCTGTGGAACTGAAATTATTAGTCTCAATTTTGTGATAAACATCACTTCCTCTAATTGTGTAAGGAAGTGATAGAATGTGTGGGCCTATCATATCCCTTTAGTAAAGTGGAATTCAATTTGACTAATTTTTTATGTCAGTACTTTGGGGCCCAGGTTTGACCCTAGAGCCTTGAGCAGTCTCTACTACTGAGCTAACTGAAAGTTAATTCTTTCATGTAAGTTTAGTATTTAATGCAAAAGATTAATATTTTCCATACTATCAGGAACATATTTTATTTCTCTGAAAAATAAATAGCAAGTAGTCACTATAGTTAAGGAATAATCTACATTGTTGGAAAAATGAATCAGAAACACCATACTATGTAGATGAACAGTCTTGTTAAAAAAGAAACACAGAGCCAATGCAGAGATAAAAGCCCAAGAGGTCAGAGCTAAAAACCTTACCCTTCACTGCTGCTGTTGTCCTCTTCAGCAAGAGACCTACTTCCTGTCTGTTTGTCTTTTTTATAGACTTTCTATTCTGCCTTCTCATTGGTTGTAAACCCAACCACATGACCTCCTAGTCACTGCCTGTCTGTACAGACCTCCAGGTCTTCTATGGTTGGTATTTAGATTAAAGGCGTGTGTCTCCATGCTGGCTGTATCCTTCAACACACAGAGATCCGCCTAGCTCTGCCTCCCAAGAGCTGGGATTAAAGGCGTGCACCACCACCTTTTCTGCTATGGCTTGTTATTAGCTCTGACCCCCAGGCAACTTTATTTATTAACATACGAATAAAATCACATTTCAGTACAATTAAAATATCACCATAATACTAACCATCCCAGCTAAACCCTTCTCAGCCTCTGAACAAAAACGTCCAAAAATCATCCCAAATTCTGGCTTCCCATGCAAGATATAGACACCTTCCCACAGTGTAGTGCTTGAGTTCTGGATTGGTAGTTTTGGGGATGAAGTTCTAACGCATCTTCTTGTCTTTGTTCAAGTTATAGTAGTCCTCTTTGCAGCTCTGAAAAGGCAACGCAAGACCGAGCCTCTGATCTTATCCAAGGAAGATATCAGAGACAACATTGTGAGCTATAACGATGAAGGTGGTGGAGAGGAGGACACCCAGGCCTTTGATATCGGCACCCTGAGGAATCCTGCAGCTATTGAGGAGAAAAAGCTCCGGCGAGATATAATGCCTGAAACGTTGTTTATACCACGGAGGACTCCTACAGCCCCGGATAACACAGACGTCCGGGATTTCATTAACGAGCGGCTCAAAGAGCATGACCTGGACCCCACCGCACCTCCCTACGACTCGCTGGCAACCTACGCCTATGAAGGAAACGACTCCATCGCTGAATCTCTGAGCTCATTAGAATCAGGTACCACTGAAGGAGACCAAAACTACGATTACCTCCGAGAATGGGGACCTCGGTTTAATAAACTAGCAGAAATGTATGGCGGTGGAGAGAGCGACAAAGACGCTTAGCCTGGCACCCGAGTTCTGCTCCAGGAGAAAAAGTAACTTTGCGGATCTTGTCTCCACTTCACAATATTTGATATTCAGGAGAATTTTTTCCTGCCACTCAGCACAAGTTTTCCACTTATTTCTTAATTTGTTCATTAATTATATTAATTCTTTCCTGTAGGATGTCTCATGGAATATATACAACATTTTATTTAATCACTTCCAAGAGCCAAAGCTATGGAAATTCAATGTTGTCCATCATAGTAAATAAAAGAAACCTGATCAGGATAGTCCTCCCTTAAGCAACCTCATGAACAAGCCGCTTCTGTTAGATACACGTCTTGCCCTTGCAAATGAAGCTTTGAAAAGGCAAAGAAAACATTTAAGATATATCCTGTTCTGTACATTAAGTTAAAAAAAATAATGTACATGTGGTGTTGTAGGTGTGATATGCAGCCTGGTATATAAGCCTTTGTGCAATTTCATTTCATCAAATTCTATCTGCTAATGTTTTATATTTATATTTTTGTATTTATTTTTAAAAAAATAAACCAGTTTTTACAACTACTTTGTCTCTAGCTTTTCTTTTCCTTAGGAGCATATTCTTTTTCCATAAATAAAATATCTTGTTATCAAATCAAATTAAATACACGAGAAGAAAAAACGCTTTATAAGCAATGTTGAAAGCCTTGACCAAACAGATATCACAGGTAAGCACTGCTCTTCTGCAATAAATCATTACACTGTGATATGTGCAAAACTTTCATACTAAAAGCATCCATCAATTATAAACCACTTACAATTTATCATTTGAAAAATTTACAAAAATGGTGCTCTAACCCCTAAAGTCCCAGAGTCAATCACACTTAAATCATTGCCACTCTTGGCTCTTGTGCTAAATACACTGGTGGTCCAGCATTTTCCTCTCACCCATATTTACTAAAATAGCATCTGGAAGAATGAAACATTTTCTTGTTTTTGAATGACGTTTGTGCTATTGAGGTTTATAGACAATACGAGTTCAGACAGTTCTCAGGCTGGAATAATCATTGAATGGAATTATATTTACCTCCCATGGTGACTTTGAAAATGCCTAGTACTGACAGTAATAACACTGAATATTCCATTAAGATGCAGTTTCACAATTATGTCAGCTTTCCGAGATGCATCACACATTATTGTAACAAAGCCTTTTTGTGTAAGAATGACTTAATAGACAGCAAAAGAACAAGTTGAAAAACAAACTTTAAAGTGCTGGTGGTAGATCATCAAATGTTACTGAGAATTCTGGAGGTGAGAGCAATATTATTACCTGTTGTTCAAGTCCTATGCCATGATTCATTTGTAAATGGAATTCTTTATTAGTAGATATGGAAGTCACAATCCCTGCTGAGTATATTGTAAACAATACCAAAGATTCATGTGCTAATTAATGAAAATGCTATGAGTTGAGTAGGTCTGTCTGCTATGTTGATATATCCTTAATGCAGAACTAATTATTTCAGTCTTTTTGGATGGTGACTTTTTTCTAGCTTCCAGGCTGAAAGGGCCCATACCACTCTACCCACTGATGCTTCTGTTTGTCTAATAGTCTGATTATGAAAGAGAGACAACCCATGAGGCTCAATTAAAATCACAGCCAAGTAGTGCTAAGGACACCTCAGGCTGGATATTAACACTTCATTTGACAGAACCCACTAATGTGTATCATACATTGGCTTCCAAAAGAGACTAGGTTTAAGAAGGAGAACTTTTCCCTTTTGTGCTAATTTTAAATGAATAAAATGCTGTTTCCTGGAGAGATCAGTCATTAAAAGAAGAATAAGTTGACAAAAGAAAAGAAAAACAAAGGCCTCCGACTGTCTCAAATTGGTCATAATTAAATATAAAATTTTTGTTGCGATTATTTCTACCTTTTCCACACAAGTAGTTCCTTAGATATCAATCCTTAGATTGATATCCTTAGATATCCTTAGATATCAATAATGTAATTCTTATGTCTATAATGCAATTCTTATGTGAAGACTTTTAATTATCTTCATTCAGAAATGTCAAGTGATGCTAAATTTTTCTGGCATTTACTTAGTCATCCATTATTTTAAAAACCAGGAATTGTGACAGTAATCTCTAGCATATCCAAAATTAACTTCAGATATGATCTTTAGTAGGATCGATGGGGCAGGCTTATTTGTCAGTTGTGGGGAATTGGTCAGTAGCAGACCACCAATATTGTTATAAATGAAGATGGTATGTTAAAGTTATTTCTTGGTAGACATGAAATTGAGAACATGTGTTATAAAAATCTATTTCTAGTCTCTCAGTCACCTGCTGGTATTGTGCTTGCACAATAGAATGGCCAGAATGTAGTTTATTCCATCATTAGTTTTCGGTGTCAGTGGGGCTACTGTCTCTCAAAATATTATTGATGTAACTGAAACAATGTAGGTTTTTCATTTCTTCATCCATATATATCTTCAATATAAATTGTTTATTGAGCATCTATTATAAAAACCAAGGAATGTTCTAACACCCAGAGATGTAATAAATTATATATAATTCTTCTATTTATAACTGTGTATTTCTTTCACTTGTAAAGTTAAAAGATGGGGAAAATTATATTGTAATGAAAACCACTGAGTTTATAAGAAACTATCTAGGTCTTATGATTAGCTTTTCTAGGAACAGAATCATTCTGTTCTCTTTTTTTCCCATGACTTATATATTTAGAAATTTGAAAATGACTTCTGAACTTTGGAGCATTAAAAATGCTAACCAAGTATCGTTTCTTCTTGTAGCAAAGTATCAAAGGTTATGAAATCTCTCTCTCTCTCTCTCTCTCTCTCTCTCTCTCTCTCTC